TTGCATAGTCGTAAATGTGTGTGTGTGTGTGTGTGTGTGTGTGTGTGTGTGTGAGAGAGAGAGAGAGAGAGAAAGAGAGAGTTCTGTTAATGAAATAATTACACAAGCTTAAGATGCGTATACCTATTATAATTATCTTATTATCCTACTAAGATAAAGAAACGACGAGAAATTATAGATCGAGAACTCGTGCCTAAAATTATCTTTCTCACTTGTGTAAAATTTTTATCTTTATTATCATTTTAAGAGGTTTAAATATAGGAGATAAAAACTTTCTGACATTTCGTATTTGATAATTAATAATCTATTAGAATTTTTTAGTACAGAGGTATTCTTATCTCTTATAGAAATTAAATCTTTCACAAATTAAATTTTGTAGATAGAAGAAGATATAATTAGACATCTTTTTGTCGAAAAAAATTTCATAAATGCTTGAAAGTCATTTATTGAAGAATAACAATTGTTTTTGTCAAATATGTTTTTAATTGACTTGGCATATTCAGATAGTCAATATAACGTATCATTCAGTTTAATTGCTTGGGAAATGAAAACCTCATCGATACGGTTAAATAAGCAATATTTTTGCTGCTGTTGAGAGTTACATTTGATTTTCATGTCTATACAATTTCAATGTTTTATTATCAATACATCGTTATATTAACAATCAGTCGGGCAAAAGAATATCGAAACGCCATAATCATGTTGTATATTGGTATTTGAGCTACGCTCAATACTACATATAATCCTATAACATGAATAATTTGATGCTACTTTTGATGTAATGATACAGTTGCGTTAATTATGCATGGGAAGTAACATAAACATACAGTTACTGCTTATTGGCAAGGCGAGCTGGAAATATTTTATTAGTACACTTTTCAGTTACAGAGAGTAACAGAAAATTTAAGGGAAATGGATTCTACCCATAAATACGAAGAAATTCCTTCGAATATTTACAAAGTAGTTGTATATACGTATACTACTGCATAAGTAGAAAGAAGATGTTATATAAAGATATAATTAGCTATATTATCGATTTTAATATATTAGAAGTATTTAGTATTTGAACAAAAATTCGTGCTGCTTTATTTAAACAAGGATTTGTGCTGCTTTATTTAAACAAGGATTTGTGCTGCTTTATTTGTATCATGTCTACAGGTTTAAAAAAATTGATAATTATAATAAAGCTTTAGCTTTAGCTTTAAGAATCTGTTTTATTGAATTGAAATACGCGAGCAATGATTCTTAACAAAGTTATGTGCAAAATGCTTTTTTTATTTAATCTGCGATAATTCAGTAACAAAAAAATGATTTTGTATGTGGAAAACTTTTAACTTTTATACTAAAAAGTCTAAAAGTTTTGCAAGTTTTTCTGGACATGTAATAAGCTCATAAAGTGAGAAGAAAATTTCCCAATTGGTCCAGTTTTGTATATGTAATTTGTAGTTTTCTATGTATCAAAATTAGTAAAAGAAATTACAGAAATTTAAAAGACATAGTACTCTTTCAAATGTAGAAGTTCTAAATCTAGAACTTTTTTAAATTTAAATTTTATTTATTTTTAGTAAAATTAATTATTAGAGCTATTCGAATTTTGAAGTTTATTAACGCTAAGAACTTTTATTCCAACTCAATAGTTACGAATAAAATATGATAGAAGTTTACAATTGAGAAAAGTCAATATTATCCAAGGTTCAATTTAAACTTGAATAAATACAATCTCTTTTTCAACAGCGACTATTTATTATAATTTTGTAATCAAGTTATTGAAATATAGACTTCATTATTTTGAGAGTCAACAAAATTCTATGATATTTGCATTTTGCTTTATTTTACATTATGTGTGTATAAAAATATATATTAATTTTAAATATTTTACAAATTTTCAGATTTTTTTAAATACTGATTTTTAACTTA